ACACTCCCTAAATCTTACTAGCATTTTCTCTCTCTCTAGTGACTAAATAAGTACTGCTTTTGAAAAATAATTCACTCTAAAATGGCCATTCCTATCAAAGGAAGAGTTTTCTCTACGTATGTTTGATTTTTGATTAATACGGTTAAAGCAATGTTTACAGTGAGGCGTTAAATACATAATCAATTTTTAAAATTATGGTTCGTCAACGTCGTTGCATTCAGAGGCTGCTCGTATTGTAGTTCGCGTAAAGGTTCACCTTTTGCATAAAAACGAATTGTTCGTAGTCAGTCTCGAGGGCACGTTATTTCTTCGACAGCAGTGTCCTCGAATCTGTTACGTCATTAACAAACGCATATTTGGAAAGTTTGTCTCTGGGGAGAGATGGTGCATCCAATCTCTTGGCCCCAGCAGCCCCCCCCCCCCCAATCGAAAGATAGACATTCGCATCAGCGAACGGGAAAGTTCGCATGCTGCGATCTTGAACGGTCACGTTAACGTGCTTAGAGAGCAACGCGGTATGAAATAATGCAGTTAGTAAGAGCGTAAGTTACCATTCATCACAATAACTGCTCACAAATCGGTCCGTAAAATCATTCGAGGCGACGATGGTAAATGAAATCTCTATCAACCAAGCATCGCGCCAGTTTAACTTAATGTTACCCATTTGTTTATACAACTTGTTTGCTCAGTATTTCTAGCATTGATATCAATCAGAGGATATGTACGTGAATTAATGGTCATTGGGGAGGTATGTCTGTGTTTATGTTAAAAGCATGGAAGGATTTATCTGCAAGGAACTAAGCAATAGCTTAGGGTCCTCGGGAAAAACTCACGTTCGTGTCTGTAAAATGACTATTAATTAAATAATATATTATAGTTAGTGTTTATTAGTAAATGAGGGGCATTTTTTTCCGGAGGGGGGCCCACACAACTTTCTGCCGGGGGGGGGGGGCGGAATTTCTGATTCCTAACCCAGTCAAAAGAACAGACCATCTTTACGTCTCATTAAGGAGATTGCACAGCGAAGCGTTACCGCAAATGAAGGCACTATCGATCTTGTCGGCATGCGCAGTTTGAGTTTCGTATCACTAGGAAGTTTGTGCCACCTCGAATGTTGAAGCACCTCGTATCGATCTTCTGCTAATGCGCAGTTCAAGTTTGCACCATTTCAATGCATCTGTGCATGCGCAGATCGATAGTGCTTTTGAAAACAGCCAAAATGTTTTTTGATAATGATAATCGGATTTTTTGATAATCGGCATAAAGTGTCGATTTAAAGTAAACAGTTGTAAACTGTAAAAAATGTATATTCTTGTGTAAATTACAAATTGATTCTATTGGTCGCTTATGACGCAGTTGTTGAAAAGCGACCTAAATAAATAAACTAAAAAAAGTCAAGAGCTGTATATTTTTTAAATTTTATTTATTTAAGGTCGCTTTTCAACAACTGGGTCATAAGCGACCACGAAAATCAATTTATAATTTACGCAAGAATATACATTTTTTACAGTTATGCCATTATACAATTACATACAATTCATACAAGCATACAAATGGTTAAAATGTATTAATAATGTAGGTACTTACATAATTGGGATGGGTACACATATTTATTTATTTACATTACACAAGTTTTGATATTAACTACATGTTTGAAGGATTAATGTATATGAGATATAGGTAAAGGAGGGTCTTTATATTAAGGTATCAATTTTTGATGTTTTTAAAAGTTGTAAGACTTTTATACATTCTTCTGGAGAGAAGAAGGAATTAAATGGAGAATCTTTTAAATTTAAGGACTGTCTTATATGAGCTAGTTCAGGGCACTCCAGAATAATATGGGATGTAGATACTAGGGATCCACATTTAGAACAGTGTTCTGGGTCAGCTTTTGTTATTAGGTGAATGTGCGAGAGATTAAAGTGGCCAATACGTAGTCTGGTAATTTGGACTTGTTGGAATCTAGTGATTCGGAGTTTCGGGAGGGCGGGTTCAATAACGGATTTCCTTACGAGGTGAAGTTTGGAGAAGGTAGTCAGCCATTTTTCATTCCTCTGCTTCTTAACTATATTTTTAGTATATAGTTTAATATCGGAGAGAACTCCCGTCACACTCTTGTCCGTTGTTGGTAATGAAGTTGCTTCTTTAGCCGCTTTATCGTAACGCATTTTCGCCGTTTTAAATTTATCGTAACGCATTTTATTGGATTTGAATCAATTTATAAAAAAGCAAGCGCGAGTAGATCATATGCTCATCTACCTCGTAAGAACAGTGTCACAGGCTATTGCAATGAAGAAAGGAGAGATTCAGTTGAGGTTCTGAGAAAGGGAAAATGAGCTATTGCGTCATTTTAGTTTGTATATGCTTTATCGATAATGATATCGTTACCAAGAAATTCAATAATCCGAACCTTCTGTTTCTCTGAGTATGTGTGCGACTTAACAAGCGATCTTAATTCAGGAATACGGACCAGCACATATTCCGTTTTTTATTCAAGGAAAAGTCGCAATGTCTTGTTTATTGTTTTTAATATCTGATCACATTAAACAAGATGATAATTTTGGTACATCTGGCTGCATTTAAAATCCTCTAATATTGTGGCGCAAACTGGTGCCTGAAGCTCATTGGCTGAAGTGGGACAGGACGCGCAGTAGCTCACCCTCCTCTTTCCCCCATGGTTTCCGTGGTGGACGGCCTTTCGCGGGGAAGCGGGATGGTTGGTTAGTAATTCCGGGCGGCTCAAATATTAAGGTCATTGGTCCCGTAAGTGTAATGCATGTTTTTGCTTGGGAGGTGGCGGTGGTCTTTGCCCCGTTGGATGGCGAGGTCTGGTGCCGAGGAGGGTTTTCCCCAACGACGAATCTCCCACCAGCGAGGCAACGCCCCAACCGGGACAAGCTTTATGCTCCCAACTGGCCTCCCGGCACGTGTGGTAGTGTACTGCAAGTTAGTGTAACTGTGCGTAAGGGGAGAGGATAGGACAAGGAAGCGGTAGGAAAGTTCGCTCGCAGTCCGTGGTCCGTTTGTTAGGGCAGTGCTCCTGTATCGCCTGGTGCTGAACGGAGAATTCGTCAACGGAAAACTACCAATCAGAGCAGCCGGCCGCTAGAATTGTCCTCCAGACCTAGCTGGGAAGTAACAGTCGGAAATCCTGCCACCGTCGTGAGAGGAAGCCTAGGACCTCCCAGTCAGAAGCCCTGAAGTGACATGCCCTGAGCCACCTCTCCCGGTGCGGGGAAGCCGGAGGGGGGGGGCGAGGTTCGCCGATTCCGGCCCGCGCCGGCGCGGGGCGGTGGCTGGCTGCGGCGGCGGGAGCCCGTTATCTGGGTCCATCGCGGAGGTCCGCGCCGCGCCGCGCTGCGCCGAGCGAGTGGGACTCCAACCGCGCCCAACCGGCTCAACCGGCTCTGGCCGGCCGCCCCGACGCCCCGGCCGCGCCCGCCGCACGTGCGCGCGTAGGAGGTTGCATCACGCCGCGAGGCGCCGGGCGCGGCGGCGGCGGCGGCGACACGCAGCCACGAGGGATGCCACAGCCATGCACATGCTTTATATACACGTACTCGTATTTCCAGTTTAAAATCGGAATAATAATCTTACGTTAATATATCTTTCGTTAACGTTATCTTTAGAGTAACGATTACACAACAACAATAATACAATTTAAAATACAAAATTATTTCTTGTATACCAGCATTATAAACGATCGTTTCTGGTGCAGGAAATCATTCATAATCATTCATAATCGGGCATTTTAGGGTACAAATGATGACGTATTAGGATTTTACGGCACGAATGATTGTGTCATCAACCGTGCAGCCAATCACAGCGGGTGAGGTAAAGATAAACGGAACAGCCGAGCACCGATTTCTCACACAGATGCCAAATGCTCGAGACGTCACAAGAAAGTTGTTTTGCAAAATTAAGGTTGGTTCTCTTACAAAATTTATAATGCTGATATACAAAAAATAGTGTATGCAACTCGTTTATAATGTTGCTTTATTGCATTCGTACAAATTTGAAAATGAGCGACGTTAGGAGCGAGTACTTATACAATACAGCTTAAAATTATAAACTAATTGCATAAACTACAATAAATTCTATTATAAATATCATAATCGTTTATTCTTTTCTCATTCAATGTATTTATAACTAGTGGGACCCGGGAGACTTCTGCCCTCCATCTCTTTCTCCTTCTCTCTCCCTTTGACCGGTAATCTCACTGCCCCTCTATGCCTCAGTCTATCTCCATCTCTCTCTCTCTCTCTCTCTCTCTCTCTCTCTCTCTTCTCTCTCTTTCTCTCTTCTTCTCTCTCTTTCTCTCTCTCTCTTCTCTTCTCTCTCTCTCTCTCTCTCTCTCTCTCTCTTTCTCTCTCTCTCTCTCTCCTCTCTCTCATATATAATATATATATATATATATATATATATATATATATATATATATGCCTATGTCTGCCTCTGTCTCTCCCGGTTTTATTTCACAATCACAGGGGCAGGGACTCCTAAAACTTGAGGGTGTTGCGGGTTGTGTAGAGCGCAGTTGTATAGAGAGTCTAAAAAGAGGTCTAGAATGGTCAGCTTGAAACCATTAACGCGCGTGTGCGTACGTAGGAATATACACATTTCCATCGGACAACGCCTATATTCTTCCTAAAAGTACAAGCAATAAGTTGACAAAGTTTTACCGCAGTCAGGTGAACGGTACGGCAGCGCATTAAGTGCGAACCAACCAACCAAGAGATACTGTTTTTTATGTATTAGATTTCTTGTTTCCAAGATACAGGTGGTATTACTAGTTTCCGTTTTCCAGATAATTTCCACTAAAATACTAATTTTGGTCATTTTCAGACTTTCATCCTTTTAATATGACCAAACCAGGTTAGTCGTGTTTTTTTTAATATAATCCATTATACAATGTGATGCACTCAGATTTTTTCGTAAGTTAATTTCTGATTTTGTCCCTTTTTGAAATTCTTCTGTTGATGAAAATTTTCTCCAATAACCCATTTCCGTTGCCAATAATTTTCCTTTCAACGTCCAAACTTCTGATACATAAGTCATGATGCTTCATAATTAAAATATTTAAAACAATAATACGATCTCTTTTGCGATACCTTGATCCCACAAAATATTATTTAAAATTAAAATTGTCTTTTTTCCTGAATTTATTGGCCGATTTTTTTCAAACCGTTTTCCGTCATTCGTAATTTTAATTTCGAAATACTTAAATTCATTTATATGTATAAATTACCCCATATATTTTTCTGAATCCAAATCTTACATACTGTCTCCAATTACCATATATTTCGTTTTCAACATATTGACTTTTCAATCCCACTTTTTATTTTTTTGAATTAATTTTCTTGTCATAAATTCTACATAATCCAAATCTTTTCCTATATTTTCAAAATGTTCGATGTTCTAACCATCGAAACCTTGAAATCAATGTTTTATGCTCGATTTTTCTACGATCGTGAATGAAAAATTACCATAATCACAATTTTGGAAAAGTTAAAATATGAAATAAAAACTGATGTGACCACTACCTGCGTAAGTGCTGGAACCAACCGAACGCGCTTCTCTACCTTCATCAAGCAGACTATATGCTTTGCCCGAAATGATCCTGATGCCGTGGCATTTTCTCTTCTTTTCTCCTATTTCGCACATGTAGATATATTTTTTCTTTCTCTTATATGTACTTACATATTTAGTTAGGAGATAGTTTGTACGGCTGTGGAAAATCGATTTCGAGGTTCCAATGGAAATATACGTTTTGGGGGCCCCTGATATCTAAAATGTGTGTTTTTTTTTTCTTTTTCGAAACGTCCGTCTGACCGACTTACTGTCCATCCATCTATTAGCCCATCCGTCTGTCTGCCGTCCATCTAGACTGCACGCTATGACAGAGAAGTAATAAAAGCTGATCAAATGATCATCCCACAAAAGTAAGTGTAGTCAGCAAGTACACTTGAAGTCAACAAACCTAATATAAAATGAAAATACCTTCCCCAAACATAATAATCAGAAATTGATCAAACGTATGTTTCATTAATAATATAATATAATATTACGTAAATTAATAAAATAATAATCTTATTACAGCAACATTGAACACTGACAGACAACTGGCGATTTCTATACTCTATCGTTGCGATAGTAAACGCACGGGAAATGACCGACTGTTCGCCAAGCTGTCGCATAGAGTCGAGTGGCACGTCAGATGGCTGGAACTTCGCACCATTGAACGTCTATAAGGTACGCTCAGGGTACGGAGGACGCAGATCCCGGCGCCAAATGACGTCACTCAGCAGCCAATCAACGCTCACAAGCTGCCGGAACTCCTGGAAGTTGGAGCGTGTGTTCACAAGATCCTAAATGAATATAGCACTTTTTTTGTTTTGTTTTTGAAGGTGTTTGTGAGACCCGCTGTGTGGGATACAGGGACAAGAGACACGCCAACAAATGTGGGAAAGTGATGGAAAAAAAAATCTTCAAAAATGAACAAGAAAACGTACACAAACCATCTCTCATAACTGATGAATGAGACAGTCGTTCTGTAATTTTCTTGTAACGTTATGAGAATGCAATTGAATGACGTTATTGAGAGGGTTATCAAATTAGTATTTATCAATAATTGTCCTTTGAAAACACATACGTACTTGATTATTTTCCCGTAAATTAACATCAGTCTGTATACGTTTAATTATTTTACATTTGGAAGACAATGTTCCAAAAGCGCAATCAGTAGCATTCCTATCCTCTGTATACAAATTTTGATTTACCGTTTTTCATAAAAACAGTGCATTTTCTAGTTGTCTGATAATGGAAATGATTTCGATAAATGCCTCGCCGCCTACACATCGCACACGCGTGGAAGTGGGGTAGTAGGAAGTGCCGCTAGATGCCGAATCGAAGTGCTTCGTGTCCGCCCTGGCTGACGAGCGCTGGTTATGGCAGCGGGGCAGGCATCCAGAAGCGGATCCAGCCGACCGTTTGGGAGGGGGCCATCAAAGATTTTTTTGTTAAGCAACAAACATTTGTTATTATATTGTATATTATTTTTGTAGTGCATATATCATACTATACAATTTCCACTATAAATATTTAAATCAATTTTGCCAAATAAAAGAAGGTAACAAACGAAGACTAGGCTTTCTGGGGGGAGGCCGTGGCCCCCACGCACCCCGCCCCTCCCAAGGATCCCCGCCCCTGCTGGCGTCGGGCGTCGGCCTGCCAACGTTGCACACTTTCGAGCCGGGAACTCAATTAAGAATGAGTTTTCATCCAAAGATTGAAGCGAGCTCAATCGATTAACTACACAGCATCAACCAGCTTGTTTGTCTAGAGCCTACTTAAGAGGTTATGCTGTTTAACGCTAATTACGCGAGTTCGAATACCAGTGTGGTAAAATGGTTTTGGAGGTTTAAACACTTTTGCAGATTCAAGTAATATTATAATATTACGTAACTGTTACAAATAATGCGAGAATACACGAACTGTTATAGAACCACTAGTCACTAATAGAGAAAATTATGCAGTAATTCTGCGGAAAATCAATTTCGAGATTTCAACGAAAGTACACGTTTTGGGCGCCCCTGACACCGAAAAAGTGTTCTAGTTTTTTCTTCTTTTTTATCATTCTTCTTCCTTCTCCTCCTCCTCTTCCTCCTCCTCTTCTTCTTCTTCTTCTTCTTCTTCTTCAAACGTCCGTCCGACTGTGAACGGCACTAGCGCCTAAATTATTCATAGACTTTTTTCCAAAACGGATATTTCCGGATCGATCTGGCGAATCGAAGCTCTGCAATTTTGAAGTACTTTCTTCAATTTTGGGAAGTACTTTACATAAAGACCCTGGGACATTAATTAATTTTTTTTTAAGTTCCAATTTTTTTATAAATTTCTTGCAAGAATAGAGTTAAATGCAGTTATACTTTTGGCATACGTTCACTGTTAACTCTCAAATTTCAAAAATTGCAAAATTTTTACTTTCCTTCGTGTCTTCCTACAATTACAAAATTTAAGGTAGAGATTTTTCTTTCAAATGATACGTGTTCTTCATAAATAGGTAATCACTGAAGTCATGACCATTTTCTTGAAAATTTTAGAAGTTGTTTTTGCGCAATATTGTGTGAATATGAGCAATATTAAAAAATAACAAAAACAAGATTTTCTTAAAACGGCTCCAAATTGTTTATTGAAACTTTTGGTAGGGTTGTTCTATGTAAGATAAATGGTAATGTACTATATAAGAACTATATACGCCATTTTGAACTATTATTTTGATTTTTCAAAAGAATTACATTACAAAATATTTACTTGGCTGTCCGGGTGACGCCGCGTCCATGGCGACCGAAACGTCGGCACCTTCGCCATGGACGCGGCGTCACCCGGACAGCCAAGTAAACTTACTTCGGCCGCGGAAGCCTACACTCTTACATCACAAAACATTACAAAAATGTATTTTTTTACTTGTCTCACGTGGTTAATATTTACATTAGCGGCGATTTGTTTATATTATTACTTTTATAAGAACATGTGTTTCAAATGATAATAAGATTCTAGAAAACTCAAAGCTATTCTGTAAAAATGAGCTCAAATTTCCGCATTTTCAGGAACGCTTAAACATCGCTTTCAAAAAAACTGCTCTTATTTTTTTCTTTAAACTTCTTGTACTAAATGACCTGTTTAAGATGACTTTAAAGCCATTTTGCTGTATTCCTTTGTTGTTGTTTTTATAAATTACGCAAATGTATTTTCTTTAAAATATCTCTCTCGCCAATAATATGCACATTTTCATTGATTTGTAACATTTATGATAATAAGAAGAAACATTTGTGATCATTAAACAAGAAAAATGCTGTTTTATCATATCAGGGAGCCACAAAATGAGTTTTTCTGTGAAAAAAAACTACACTTTTCACTACAGCAATACATAAGTTTCTCTAAAACATTCTTATGGGCTGAGCGTGTTTGGGGCCCCTCACAAACACTTGACTAGGACCTCAAAAAATCTATGGATGGCCCTGATGTATATTGAAATTACAATGACTTAATGGGGTACTCCATTTTAAGTTTATTATGAATGAAGGATGTTAATTTGCTTACCTGTGGATGAACCTGTTTATCTCTACAGCATCTTAATTTATATTTTTATTGTTTCCACTAAACACAAAGGTTCTGTTTCTACTATGGAGCATGTATAAATCACTACTATTTGCATAACAATGACAAAATTCTGATACAGCAACTTGAATTATTGAAATACCTTTACCAAACATACAGAATATATACCATAAAACTTAATCCAGACAATTCAATGATCCCTGAAGAAAGAGTGTATGGACATTTATGCTGTCTCGTTATAGACATCTCACTCTTGACAAATAATCTTAAGGGAATCAAAAATTCACAAGTGCCCAACCCAAGATAAATCATAGAGGCTCAATGGTGAATGTTTCTGTGATATATAGTAACATGTAGAAAATACATGATACCAAGTATGATGTAAAAAAATTACAGCATAATGATACATCTAGCAGCTATATATCAAGTGTCTTATGATTTGTGATTCAGAGCAACGAGGGACGACAAAACAATCTTGAAATTCTGACAAAGCAATTAACTTGCAACTTAAAAAAAATAATTAAAACAATGAAAGTTAATTTAAAAGACCATATATTGAGTATAAATTTACAAAGTTTAAATGGATAGTTTTAAGGGTGTTTGTCTGTATTGTTTAGATTGTAAAATATAACACATATTTTGATTTCTATATCATTTTTGTTGCTATACTTTTAATATTTATTACTAACTTGTTAGTATTCTACAGGTAATTGAAATTTTGTAATGACAGATAAAAATATATTTGGTTGTTTCGAAATAAATTATACAACTAATCAATTGTTTAAAAAAATATTGAGTAAAATACAAATTTTGAAGACAGAGAAATATTTTATATAATTGTATTTGAAGTTATTACAATGTCTATTTCACATCTTTTTTGATAAGCTTCAAAATAAGGTGTCAAATTCTTTATCAAACAGAATACAATGTTAACTATTCTAGAAGTAGAAAAAATGTGCTTTCTATAATGAACGATAAGAATTTGTTTACTTACACAGCATCAGTGGGGCTGTAAACTGGACCAGTTGAAATACTTGAGGTCACCACTGGTGTCACAGGTTGTGGCAGCATAAGCGCATCCGATGGTATCTGACAAACAAAAATGTGTTAATGAAATAGTAAAATGTAGAATGTATGAAAGGAGAGGGTAAAGGATTTTGTGTTCATTGTAGCTGGATTTTTGAATGTCAAGATTACTACTTACATCACTGAGCACAGTGCATTCATATGATGGCTGATATTTTTCTTGTTCAGATAAAGGTCGTTTTAAAATTTTTTCTCTGTCCTGTTTATGCTTGCGATCAGCTCCTTTCAACTGAAAAATTAAAACAATACTTTCATGAATGCTATTACCATTAAATATAGTGGCATAAATAATATAGTGGCATCAGTAGCATCAGTAATAAAGATAAGATATATAACTAGTGGTGCTACACAATGTACACTTTTAAGCATAATTTCAAACTTTTAAAATGTTCAATAACTCAGAGTGCAGTGAAATTGAGACCTGCCTCATTTTTGAAGCCGTGTTTGCTCTCTCCAGGAGAGGGGAAATTCAAGAAAAAAAATTGAAACAGCTTAAAAAAAAAAGTACAACACCCTATGTAATATTTTGGAGACTTCACATTTCAATGAGAAAGAAATCTCGATCATCAATATTTTACTGTTGCAATGTTAATTTTCTGCAATTTTTGAAAATACTGAGAGTTCACCAAAAGCAAGGCCTGATCAATTTTTTAATCATCTAATGCTTTATGCACAAAAAAAATTAGAGCTGTTTTTTGTGAAAATATTTGTTTAAAAATTACCTTTCTTTCAAGCAAATTAACATGAAATCTTGCAATATTTTCAAAAAGTTGTAGTCTTGTTTACACATCTGGTTTGAAAAACAAGTTTCATTCAGAACAAAATATTGATCTTCTATATTGTAGTCTTAGAAAAGCGTTGAAAATATTTTAACTTTGCAATTTTTGTAAGTTCAGATATTTTAAAGAAAATGAGACCTGTATCATTGTTTAAGCATTCTTTGTGCTACACAAAACAAAGTTAATTACAAATATTTCGAGACTTTTTTGAAAAAGTGTTGAAAATGTTTGGGCTTTATTAGGTGACCAGATCCTCATCGTTGAAACAGAGAACAAAGGTGTTAAAAAAAGACATTTGGTGAAAAAAAGACAACAGGCCATAATAATTTAAATAATGTAATATGTGACAATTGAGTGACTGCCGTTATATTGTATATTTATGGAAGTATACTGACAGATGTAAATACTGATTCATGAAGAAACTAACAATCCTTTATTTGAAAATGAGGCGTTTGTTCCAGCTACACAACTGCTTTCATCTTTAGACTCCACCTGTCCCATTTTGACTGCAGGATATTTGCTGGCTATGGAATTATAAAACTTGCATTTCCTCTTTGGTATTTTAAACTATCATGATACATCTTTAGCAAATATCTGCCTAAGAAAACAAAAATTGTGTGTTTTCCTTCCTTGCCAGAATCACTGTTCTCAAAACTACTATCACATTTGGGCAGAATGAGAGAACAGGCAATAGTGTTTCCACCTTCAGGCATATTAGAGAAAATAGTCAAAACAAATAATTTCAAAATACCTTGATCTAGGTGAGCAAGTTACAAAAAGGAGGACATTTGGTAAGTTTTAAAACATCCGCTGGACCCCAGACGTACGTATAAAAAGAAGGTCAGTTTAATAAAAGAGGACATCTGGTTTACCTATGTAAGGAAAAAAAAATCAAAATACTCATTTCAAACTCATTAGGCCTTGAAATCGTTGAGAGTGACCAGAGAATAACAATTTTGGAGAAAATCATTTGAAAGGTTAAGGTGCTAATGTTGATCACAGACAAATAGACAGATTTTTTGCTGACAACCATTTTTTCAGTATCAAGAACCCAGAATAGGTAGATTCCGTCTACACAATGTGTTCAAAGTAATTTGATAGATATAGGAACATGACCTATCCACTTTTTTGATACCAGGGCATGAAAATATGATTTTTATTGAAAAATAACCTATTATTGCTACAGGATTACAATACATTCTCTTCACCACACAAGTACATAGACACATTTTAAACATTTGTTTTCCTTATGCCATAAAAAAAATTTTGAAATGAATGAGAATTACTGTAAATATACAATTTTTAAAAACAAAGTCAGTTGGTGTTCTTCAATCACAATTAGTCAGTCCATCAGTCAGTTTGTCAGTCAATGCTTCTGCTCGTTAGTGCGAGTACCTATCTGTGACCAACTCTAGGGCCTAAAACATTCACCAGGTTTTCACCGAAGTTAAATATTTGTGAGACATTAAATATCAGTTACCGACTTTTTGGAAATCTTTATAAAATAATTTCATGTTCAGTTAGATTGAAAGTTATAAATTGATATAAAATATTAACATTGAAAAATTTTGAAATTATAGTTATTAAATACTATACACCAAGAATACTTTGACCACTTTTTAATTTCATTACAATATGCATATGAGACTGTTGATACCAATATTACATTTTCTATCACTTAATTGGAACTTCAACAGGTAATATAGAATGTAAATCAATATTGACACTTATATTTTTTGGTATTAACAACAAATATTATACAAGTTTATTGTGAAAATCATGAAGATTGGAAGTCTTCGTGATTTTATTGATCCTTCATTTAATAAACAGAATAACCGCAAAAAATATAAAACTTATGTATCATCTTGAGTAGAAGTTAAAGAGTAAAGACTGAAATTTAGGCGAAATGCCTTTTTTATCATAGAAGTTAGCTAGATTTTTAAACCAACCTCAACAAATACACCTTTGTTGTGATTGGTTTTAATTTAACGACATTGTTGTTTTTTTTGATGTCCCAATAGTAATATACTATTTTGCCTTTTTTTATGCTTAATTTGTCATAAATCCTTATATTAAAAAGTAAATCCCTGTTTTACATCTCTTGGACATTAAAAAAAATATTTATTTAAAAAGTAAACTATTATAAATGGTGAAGAATAAAATGTTTACACTCTTTAAGTAAAATAGGACTTAATTTCATTCATTTCTTTCTGTTAAAACGCCCTCAACATTGCACTCTCAGTGATAGAAATGAAGTGAGAAAAAACATTTTATACAAAATTGTGTAGGGCTTTATATAGAGCTATGCCGCATTTTTGACAAAAATTAGATAATACCATTAACATACTTGCCATATCAATTATTATATTTTGTGTAAATCTCCTCCTGCCTCCTGGAAAAAATTATGTGGTTATTCACGCAGAGGATGAAATTAATTCTGACTTTAAGCTGACTTCTCAACAATTTTCATGTTAAGAAAGAGTGTTGCTGTTCGAAAGGTAATTTGAAAGACTCATTTTGACTTAACTACTTCAAGTTCAAAAAATTTTGAAAATGAAGAAAAAACATTGGTGCGTTTGCTAAATCGCATTAAATAAAAATAATACAAATAGTCCTTCTACGGCAATGAAAGCTGTATCATAGTGTTAGCTGAAATGTTCTCTAAATTTTGTATTCTACAACATTTTGTGTACGGTTTATGAATTTTATGAAACTTTTTGTGTATGTTTATTTGTGGGTGTAAGAATTTCACTTAAAGCTAAATAAGGTATAAAGGCTTATTGTGGCAACCATTTTAGTTGAATGTTATTCAGATATATAAATTAGGATTTGCATGCCTGATTATTTGCAATATGCTGCAAATAAGGTCAAATTTCGTAATGAAGAGGGCCTTCTAACATGTAATAAAATTGACATACTTGTATGCCAAGTTTCAAGCTAATTGGTGATGAGTTTTCAAGAAATGGCTGCAATATATTGCAAAATAATTATAACAAAATTACACAATCATTACAGATAGTTTGAGAAAGCGTGTCATTTTGTACCACCACTAGTTGACAATCTTATTATTTTGCAAGGTGCATTTTGAGCTAGAGAGAGATAAAAAGAAGAAAGATTTTCTTCAAATCATATTTACCTTGAAAACTTTTACTTGACATGCAGCTGCATGCAGACGTTTCAATCCACCATCTCCTTGGAGGTATGTCTCAACTTGAATGCGGAACGGGACCCCTTTTTCTCCACCATGCTTCTTTGGAGTGAATTCTGTACTGATGCAATTCACCTAGAAGCAATGATTTTATTGATTTAGGACTAAACAATAGTTGACAATTTTTGTATATTATCATGGTCATTAGTTTCACAAAGTTGAATTTTTTTATATTTTTCCTTCTCATTATGTTATAATTATTTTGTGATTAAAAAGAGACGTAAAAATTAGTTGCAATATTGATACTGAATGTAAGACTAATAGCAATTTGAGAATCAATTCTTAAGACCTAATTTTTAGTGGGATTTTATAAAGAAATCATTACTTCCAAGTTAAAAAGTTTGCAACAATTGAAAGGTAAGTGTTTTCAATAGTGTTCAATAGATCAATACAATGGCACATCCAGGATTTTTCTTTGGGAGGAGCTACAGGTTTAGAGTCCAGCTGACATGATATTTTCTCAAAAACAATTTTTCCTTTATGTTGAATATTATGTATTTTAATTGTTGATTTATAGTTAATATTTATAATCTTAACAATTGTTCTATTGAATGACTTTTGTTAGTATAGAAAATAAATAAAATCTGCTTCTGGAGGTGTAGAAGGCCCTTGAACTTTACCTTTAAGTGCATGTATGCATCATTATATTTGTTTCAGTGAGGGAAAGACAAAAAAAAGTGCTGAGTAGCACAGATTATATTTATTTGCTTATTGTAGCAGTTAAAAAATTTCTACTTTTTATAGTTTTAACATTTTAAATATTACAGTAAAAGGAAGGGATCAAAAAAGTTTCAACCTAACTGAAAATAATGATTACACTTCTCTTCTTTTTATGTTATAGGTAATAACAAAATTCATGAATAAATTTTCTATTAACATGATCTATTGAATTAACTTGACTGTTACAAATTCATTCATTATAGAAAATAAATAATCACCTTGATATAAACTCCAACTTCTTTTGTGGGATCCCATAAAAACTCTACAGCATTAAGCTGCATGGGATCTTGAATAATGTCTAAAAGGCCATATGACAAGGGAACATCAACTTCCACGACACGATCACCTGGTCGTGATGCCTGCCAAGCAGCCATTTGTTCCCTTTCAGTATACTGCAGTCGCCGTTCATGAAAACATACTCTAATTGTACTCTAGAAAAAGAAAATTCAAAACATTACTGGATCAAGTTGTCTAGGTCTCCCTGTGCAAGATCAAATTTTTAAGAAATTTTATGGGTTGATTTCCACATGTCGCAAAGGAACTTTTGTAAAGTTGTACCTACATAAATGAAATAGTTTGAGATACAATGTTTTGCTGCACCCCATGAAGTGCTGTTTCACAGTAGGCTTGTTGTTTCTTGTCCTACAACTATAAAATTTTCATAACGGGACACAAAATTTACTTCTCTCTTATTTCTAAACAAATGAAACTGGGCACACTTGTACGGCTTTTCTGCTCTATTCAATAAAATTAATATTAATTTTGTCTTTATTAATAAACTGTGGGCACGATCTAGAAAAGTTGCTGTGGAAAAAAAATCCAGGATTTACACTTAAAAGCTTCTTAATATATGAGTACCAAAAACAAAACATGCCTAATTATTTATCCACATTTCAGTGTTTTTTAATTCATTACTTCAGTCTCATAGCTCTTACCATTTTTTTCATAAATTATGTTACAACGTTGATTTTGACAATAATACTCAAAATAAGGTATTAACACCTTTTTTCCAAAAAGTTACTTCTAGAAATTCTTTCAAACCTATCATGTACGAAAGAGAATGTATTGAAGCATCTAAAAAGTTAATTTGATTGACTATTAGAGGTACAAAATGCCGTTAGAGGTTCAGAATTTATTGTTGAGTAGTTTTCCCAATGTTTAAGTAAGAAAGTTGGAAGTTAGCTGGTATCTCAAAATGATATTTTCTTATGTTCATAGTTCTGAGCATAAAATAAAGAATTATGTTTTAACATTTTTGCCATTTGTTACTAGCATGGTAAAGTACAAATGAAGCTATATTCCCAACTTTGCAAGTGGAATTGTGTAGTCTTTGAATTTAATTCTTTACTGGTGGGAAGATTTTTTCAGGTGCATCATACTGGAACAGCCATGTCAGCACATGGGAACGAAACCTGTCAAATGACTGCTAATAAATTGCCACAATTTGGAATTAATTGTCATATCTTTGTGGTGAAAACGAATATGAGTTGGGTGCTAACACACATAAGTTAAATTCGGGTCGTAGGTCGACGGAAACCCTCAAATGTTTATTGCTAATTAATTACCCCAATTTGAGATAAATTGGATTAAAACGGGTTTGAGCACATAAGTTACTTACGACCCGAATTTAACTTGTGTTGTGCTGGCGTGACGTGCCAAGCCAGCTATCACCCGTTTTCGCCACGTAAATACGCCTCAAAAACATGGCAATTCATTTCAACGGTAGCAATTAATTTGTAATTAATTAGTAATAAATCATTGGAGGGTTTCCGCCGAGCTGCGACCCCAATTTAACTCTGTGTGCTGGCGCCCAGTTCACACCCATTTTCACCATGAAGACATTGCAATTAATTCCAAATTCCGATTGCCAACTTGCGCGAAGAATATAGGTACAGTACAATTGGAATGTGCGTATGACTGTGCACATAGACGTCCGATTATGATGATTTTACGCATTTATATTGACTCACGCGCCCCTGAACAGGAGTTTACGCAACCCGCCGCACCCTCAAATATTATGCGCGTCTCTCTGCATATTCTGCCCCTGCGATTGTGAAACATTGGCCGGCATTATTACTCAAACGTTATTTCGGACAAGTAAATCAAATTTCTCCACGTCAGTGTCACAGCGAAAGTATGCTCAAATTCGAGAGAAAACGTTTGAACAATATGATACTTGACAACCATGTCCAAACCAGGACATAGACCTTACAACAAACCCTTACTCGCGTGAAAGTATTTCATTTGTTAAAATTTTTGAAGCGCATAGCATAAAACGTGATTAACAATAATGTGTCCAATAACGTGTGAAGTGTAATGCATTGCAATAGTGAAGCATTGCCGGGTGCACTAGTACTGTGATAAATACTTAATGCTTCTTACGACACGTGTGACGCTTTCCGTATTAATAATTTAGTTAACAATTTTGGAGCGTGACATTATGCTGTGTTCTGCATATGTCTCTAAATTAGCATGTTACACCCGTGATAACAGATGGATTTAAATGGAAATAGTGGTTTCCTCCAATGAAAAGAAATATTAAAATGGAAGTTCTATTCTTCACTACACTGTTAAGGGGGTATAAATAGGATGAATACAAAGCATGAGCGAATAAAATACTCTCCTGCATTATAAAATGTATCTTTTTAATACTTTTGCGAACACCCTTGTCGACCGGACAGTCCCGTGCTAGCCGCGCGAGTGTGTGGTAACACCGAGTCACAGCTCTTGACCTTGAAGAGACACTATATTTAAATCGGATAATAACTGCCCCTCGCTACACAGGCGCCGCGCTGCGGCAGCCACGCACGTAAACACGGAATTCAGCGCACTTTCTTTTCTGTACGAAATTACTATAAACAATTACACGTAAAATAGATGATTTTTGCAAAAACCCCAAAAATGCTGCTTTTCCAACTCACATTTACGGAAAAGTATGTTCATTAAATTATTTAAAACATTTCTCATTGAATATAGCCTTCAAGATCAAATAGTAAGTAAAATTTGTTTCTCAGGTATTCTCAAGATTACTCTCTAAATTTTCATTTTTAATCCAACAAAATAGAAGGAAAAAGGCACCTTGTGTTTTTACTGGTCAAACATTCATCCCTTTCAGCTAAAGGTATGATTACTAATTACAATTATATATTTTTAATTAAAACAATTTATTAGCAATATAATATTACCTTAAGAATTTTTCCTCTGTATGCTGATAATTCACCAAGTTTCTTAAGTTTTATTTCATAACTTTGTCCTTGGTTGAGATATGTAAGTGTTTCCTCATTAACTTTGGTAGCAATCGATGTAGCTGCGGCAAGCACGTATTGGAACCTGGGAACAATAAATCCTTGTTATTGTAATAACTTTACGCTGAGAAAACATTTTATTACAGAAGAATAATGAACTTCGTATTTTCGAAATGACGAGGGCTCTGTTTTTCAAATAATAAATAAAGTATAAGTGTGTAGACTGTGTATAAAATTTGAGACACAAAAAGTCCATTGCGTAGAGTAATACTTTTCACTTTTTACTGATACGTTTTTGATACGTATTACTTTCGATATGGAGCTCGATACACAGTGCATAACCGGGACTCTGGGTAGTATTTAGAGGGTGCCGGCATAACTTACCTGGATCGAGAGGATCACGGTTACGAGGAAAATACGAAAACAGTTGAATGATGCAACGTTCTCTTACGGAAGGAATTATGGGAGGGAAATGTAAAAATGCAAACTGAGTCAAATTAACATATAGTTAATTAGTAAATAAGTAAATGTGAACCATTAAGTTCGGGGACAAAGCACAATCTTGTATGTACCACCGGTGTTAAATGAATCTAGTGATCTCGGGCGATCGAAGGCCCTGGGGCTACTGTCGCTGCTCGATCATTAAAAACCTTACAACGCCCTTGGTGTAAACATAACTGTTACTGACATCAAGGTAATTCTGAAGGATCTGTAGATAAAATTGTAACAGCTGTGATGCTACTTAGAATAACAGCGTTTTTGGAATTCTTACATTATTGACTATCGATAAAATCATTCATTACTGAGGTGGGAGAAAGATAGTTACTGTAGAGATTAAGAAGAGACAGACGATCTGAATGTGACGTTTCACTAATGCTGTGAAACAAAAAAATTAAAAGTAATTAATCCAAGTATGGTTAATGCTATGGTTTGAAAATATATAATAAGAAAGATGATCTGAATGAAGGAAAACAACTGAACCCCTTCAAGACAAAGCCAACCCAACCATTGATAAACTAATTAATGAATACCCCAAAAGAAACTAAACATAAACACTGACAAAATGATCTTCCCAACTCTGAATGAACACAATACTCACCAAATTTGACACTAGAAGGAAACAGCATCAGACAAACACATACAACAAACTTTCTTGGAATCACCATCCAATTCAACTTCAAGTGGAACTCGCACCTAAAAGATACTAATTCAAAATTGAGCAAACTCCGTTATGCTTTTGGAATAATAACAAGGAACAGCCCCACTAACACAGTCGAGACAGTGAACTTCGCAAATGATCACTCAATCCTCAAATACGAATAATAATCTGGGGCCTAGCATCGGAGGCAAAGTAAACCTTTAAGCTACAAAAGAGAATAATCCGGAAAAAACAAAAATGAAAAGAAAAAATTCTTGACGACCCCAATTCAAAAAACTGTATACTTCCACTGCTTTGTATATTAATTTACAAGGTCATAATATTTATAGTTTGTAAAGAAGAATCCAACTATGACACCTTACAATTTTACCTCAAGCTTACATGCATATAACAAAAGAGGAGCATTTACATGCCAAACCAACCCTCCAAAACACAAACCCAAGCAATTTCACCCACCACTGTCCGAAAGCTCGTTGCATCAAAAACGTACATTCTCTTCTGGAATAATTCTTCAAAAATTACCAACACATCTGAGGGGCATTACAGCAGGGGGCGGGATTTCGGCATTAAGTCGACACGTATGTCTCGCTCTTAATCTTTTACTGCCTTTACCCTTTGGCCCTGTGTTCAACATAGGGAGTCTTGTGTTCGCACTGTAACGTGCTCTCCCAGGCAGTGCGCCATGTCACGCTCATACGCTCTTATACTGCGTTTTCTCTTTAGCCGCGCATCGCAATGCTTCAACATAGGTCGCCCGTTGTTTTCGCACAGCTACCGGGAAGGCGCGCCGCCTAGCGTTCATCAATTTTCTTACTTCATCCGAAAATGGCTGCAGCTTAATTTTGTGAATTTCGCCTCTTATTAAAAGTATGGAAGCTCAGTCAAGTTTTGACAGTATTGAATACATCATTTAAGATGTTTGGAGAATTTACTTTAATTTTGTGTTAGGTTTGTTGATTCAAAATGTACATTTGATGAGTCCTTTGGGTAAATTTGGTAGTTCTGGAATGAAGTTATCCCTCTCTCTTTTCTGCACACGGGGTGTGCAATGATCTTCCTGGCAGCACCGGCAAAATATTACGCGTGTCATTGTGCCTGGAAGATCTTTCATTGTTGCATCGTAGTGAAATTTTCGAAATAAAAGAATTTCATTTCGTTATCATAACCACTAGTAGTGCTAAAATTATCTACTAAGGGCATGAAATGAACTAGTGTAAAACGTGCCCAAATAATTGTGCTTTATACAAATTTCTGGAGTGCGATCACAGTATTTTCGAAACCTAGTTCGTTTTAATTTTGTATGAATTATATTACCAGCTATTGTCTCAATGAATATCTAATATAATATCTCGAGTTCATCCGGAAATCAAAACCAGTACGATTTTGCGGAAAGAACATACCTTAAAGGGACATTATGTATACAATTAGGCAAGTAATGCTTGGATGTAAACTTTCACTGCACTTAGTTTTAATTAATTTACATGTATTGCTTACGTTTTATTATGTATTAGAATTCTGAGGTTTGGAAATATTATTTCCTTCATTCGATGGAGCTGCAACCCTCAGTATGTTGGGGCACCAGACGCCCACTGATGGAAATATAAAAAGAACATAAGAGAATAAAACTAGAAAAGAAGCACTCATTTAATTTTATACAATCATGGCAATACCGGCAGGATTGGAAGTGAAACAGACTGTTGTAACAAAAGATATGAGTAGAATACCTACTACTCAAAAGTATCTTCTCTGAGGAATTGCTGGAGTATCCAAATTAGACCACAGAAAATGAAAAGCTCAGAGCTAATCTCTAGAATTGCTACATTCTTGACATTACTGATGACTAATGAAACAAAATGCTAAGCCACGTGCAAAGTATGGAAGATGGTAGAATGATAAAAATAGTAAAGGACGTTAAGAAAAAGGAACTCGAGGCACTCAAGTGGCACTGCATGTGGGAGCCTAGACAAAAGTTGCAACGAAGCCATAGGAGTCACAACATGCTTCTAGACCTTAAAGCTGTAAAAATAATCATAGATATTCTGATACGAAAAGTCCAGAAGAGCAAGCACCATTAATATCAAAATAACATTTTCATTGTTACTGTAATGTTTATAGTAAATAAGAAACTGTTTAATCTAGAAAATTAGTAAAAATATGTAAATCAAAACTACTTCTCTGATTCCCATAACACTGAATAAATTAAAGAGTTTTATTTTAATGCAAATTGTTACTTCAGAACAATGTCCAAACTTCATTTTTACTTTCTTGCGTAACTAAGTTTACGTAGCAAAGAGAAACTATTGTAATGCTGGGAGAGAAATTGACGATTCTACACAAAAAACTGGTATTGAGGAGCCCTGCCCACTAAAAAGTGGATTATATTTGCGTGTTCTTATATTTACAAAAAATACTTAGAACTAGGAGAACTGATTTAACAAACAAAATTGTAACTTCAAATTTACAAAAACTATATTGACAAAATTCTTGGGAATAAGCTTGATCAAAACGCGGAATTTTACAATTTGCAGAAGAAAAACGATATTTAAGTCGACATTATATGTGCAGTATAATAATACAAAAGCAAGACTTTCCCTAATGTGAAAAATCATTTTGAGAATTTATCTTATTTTGATGACAACTAATTGCACTGCTGGAATACCTTTATCAAAGCTGAAAATTGTTGAAAACGGATTGCGAACAACATTGATCCAATAACGATATCGCCATTTTAACTAGACCAGAAGAAGAGAAAGAAGGTTTGACGACGTGATTGATAATTTTGCGGCAAGGAATGTGAGAAAAGGGTCTCTTTAACATAGTCATCTGCATGTATTACATGGATGCCAAACATTAATAATTAGAACAAATTTAAATTCATGTTTAATAGGGTTACCGAAAAACATTTAAACAAATAGTTTTTATTGCGTTTTTGATGTTTTTCCTGAAGTTCTCCCACCAAAGACGCTCACACCAAATTTTTGTCCAGGGGTCCCCGCCACAGTAAATTCGAACCCGTTTGTGCCAACACACTTCTTTTCAATTCGAGTCCTAAGAAAAGGATTAACTGTAGAATGGGGTGAGAGACTCTCGGAGAGACTGTAAAGTTGCTTGCATTCACAGAAACAGTGAATCGCATCACAAACAGCCTGGAGAAAGAACATGTTCTGAACAGTAGTATGGATATATGACCATCTAATACAATCAGCGATAGAACAGTGCTTTTTCTAGGAAATCCATACAAAGGAAGATTAAAAATGACGAGTGCTGTGCCCAAGATGAAGTTGGAATACTTAAATTAAAAAATAACGAAAAAAGTGGAGATATGAGATACTGGTTTGGAGTTGATATTTATTTCTTAAATACATATTTCCCAACATTCTATAATAGAGTATTTATTAAAACATAACTCGTAACTCTACAAATTTTTGACCTTTTCATTTGCAGTAATAGCCTGTTCTTTATGCCAGACACAGAGATACAAAAGACGATGTAAATATAAGCACTTTTCCAAAACCTATACAATTTCAAAAGACACTAGAGTATATTTGGAACAATAATGGAATTATTCTGTTATAAGTGAATCTTACCGACAGTCAACTCCTGGCTCTTGGTTACCAGCAGAAGGGCAGGAATTACTAGATGCAGGACTATTTGTTGCAGATGCACCCATATGCTGACTGAAGCACTCTCCAGAATTTACCATTCCTGAGAAGAATAGCAGAAATTAAAATTTAAAAAACCCAACAAAGTAATGGGACTGACCAATTTTTGCTTTGCTCCGTAATATTTTAGAATTACCCGTATTTATTCTATTGAAAATTTTCTTTTTTGTCTCTTTGAAATCCAAATTGTATTGAATGAGTTCAATGAGTGATGAATCTGTAGAATACCATTTCTTTTATGTAACAAACTTTTTGTTTTAAGCAATTTTCAATTTATATCCAAGGAAATCCTAACTTTTGTATTTTGTAATACCTTCTTAATCAACTGAAATTTGATATTTTAAATCACTGCGCTATGTAATGCTACATTTATATATAGCTGAAGCCTCCATCAACATTTTGTGGAAAACTTTTATCCATTTTGGATTGGTTGATCCCATGCCTCATTTAATTATGTAACATATTGCTTTTTAGTTCCCCGCTATTGCTTAGGTAGAGAAAGTATAGTAATGTGCGAGAGAAAGTGCGAAAAACCCAGAGGCTACGTATAAAGAACCCCCCAAAATTAAGATATCGGTTTCATATTAAAGGGGCCGCGACGACAACCACATCAATTGGGGAATAACAGTTTGGTGAAAATCCTGCTTAAGGTTTAGTGCTGTTCACAGACGGACGGACAGACGTTTCGTCGTGAGTCGATTTTTCGGTACCAAGGATCAACAAAACATCTGACTACACAAGATGAAGTAACTTACTTTCTATTGGGACAAGACTAATCCCCTTTTTGATACCAAGGTAGGACAATAAGAGTTTTTCCGCCGAAAATTCACCGTTTTTCGGCTCACGATTACATAGTCGTCTCTTCTTACGAAGTCCTTTCGTAACGGTGAAAAGGTAAAAACGTAGATGTCATTTCACTTGAAATTATTGTTTGCACAATGAATAATGAATGTGATATTGTCACTCTGGATCTGACAAAGTCAAATATCAAGTATTTTACTTAGCTCTCAGAGTTTACTTTTGCAACTAGGTTACGTTTCACTGAAGAAAAACTCTGATAATTAACCAGTTTAAGAAGTCCTAGGATTAGGTCCATAGGACTATCTTCAAGGACATAGCTAATTTCTCAGAGGACCCTGTGTGGAAGGTCTATATGAGCTTTTCTCCCTTAAAATGAAATATTGCAAGTTCAATTTTGAAAAATCCCTTAAACAAATTTGGCGAACAAATATGGAATGAAATCGACAATAAATTTTCAGAAATGTTTGCTCCAAAATCATGCATTAGGTTGTGGAGTGTAAGTTTCGTTACGCTCCTTTCGCCATAGAGTAGCGAAGGAAGGTATTACTCGGACGATGAAACAGGCTATTAGAATTTAAGCCAGAGGAGTTTTTTAGGATTGAGTGTCTTTCACATGTAAATCTACAACACGGGTCAGCCGGTTTTACTTCTTCAACGGTAAACGTACGAATGGTTTTTTCGCACTAACAAATCCATTGTTTCGATAGGATTTGAACTCGTGATTTTGGGTATAACAGCCCCACCACACGCTAACAGTTACACCGCTGAAGCCGCTTGACCCATTACCGCCGCACGATTACTATACTTTTTTTCTTTACTACTTACACGGTGAGTAGGGTGAGAACGACACGAATGTGTGTAATACCTGCGTGGGCGTCGAGGCCCGCCCCGTGCATCGCGGCAGCCGCCGCGGGGTGGAAGATGGCGCCCGCTCCGCCCCCGCCGCCCCGCGCCGCCGCACCTGCCGCCGCCGCCGCCGCCGCCGCCGCCGCGTGCTGCTGCAGGAGCTGTTGCAGCTGGGAGGCCATGCCCGCGCCGCCGCTCGCGCCGCCCCCGTCGCCCTCATCTCTGCTGCCCTCGACGAGCTGCGAGGCTTGGCCGGGGGCCTGCGGCAGCCTGCGACCAACCAGAGGCAAATGTTTATTTGCCAGACAAGTGGGTCTTGTGAGGCGCTTACGATGAGTTTTATTTACTTATACGAATGAATTTGGTTCCATAGATGGGAAATAAAAATATTTCGATATCACATAAACACCTACCGTTGACTAGTTTCTTAACTAATACCAACAGATTGCAATTGGCAAACCTTTGAAAATTTGAGTCATAAGATTGAATATAAAAAAAACACTATTACACAATTAGTAACAGAAAAGTTATAAAAGATTACATTATAGACATATCTATATATTTTTTACAGTGATTGCTAATAATGGCTGTTTAGGGAGAAAAGTCTTTGGTACATTGGGCAACGATGTAATGTCCTTGAGACTGGCATGCCACAACTCTTACTGGGGACCCATTTGAATGAAGAGCGCTATGCGCGCGGTGATGTCGAGTTGCACGTTATCGTCCCGACCTCCTAGAAAGTGCGCCATCGTCTCCCTTTAGACCAATTTAGACTTCTTCCATTTGAAACGGTAAATATCCCGCAAAATGCGCTATCTACCTAAGGAAGATGTTGTAAATACATTTTCAACAGTTGGTTTTATCACAATTTAAAAATGTTAGGTCATCTCTGCCAGGTGGCCATAAGAGCTTGTGTTAAAATTATAAACTTTACGGTTATATTACTCCAAAACTAGACGGTGAAATCGATACAAACTCCACCAGAACATAGAAGAACCTCTCATCTTTCGATTAATACAATAAAAAAAGGCATGTTAAACATAACACGAATCTCGTTGTAACCACCTTCAAGCTACACGCGCTCTTGGTCGGCACGGCACGGAACGGGCATTCGGAAAGTCTGGCTCCGCGCTTTGGGTCTTGAAGTTGCGCGGCGGCTTCATGATTTAAGTAAAGAAGCAATCGGTTTTTAATAGCGGAAGAAGAAAATGAGTCAAGGAGTCTAAGAAAGACGAGATTCGTTTCTGCTCTAAAAAGAACGAGAATGACAAAAGGAGAATTTCACATGGTAGATGGAAAATTATTTCCGTGCCTTAGGATATATCACGATATATTCGAAGATGATTTGGATATTTTGAAAAATACACTATACAAATAAATATTTTGGTAAATATTTTTCAATTATTTTGCAATTCAGTTGCAGCTGAATTTATTGGCGTTCAAATGATCGCGACTTTCATGTATGCCTACTCTATTGCTGGTAGACGAGTTCAGTGAAATAGTAAGTGGTTCAGTGCTTTTGGTGGAAGCGTATTGGGATAAAATGCTTCCGAAAAGTAAATACTATTTTGTGAATGAACATTTAGGCATTTTCGGCTTGAAAAGTTAATAAAAAGTGTAAAATTTTAGTATTTAGTAAGATTAGGTTAAAAGATAGGGGAGAGAACCTGGAGCTGAAGAAAACGCGCGCAGATTGAACTTCTCCCATATACGTCTCATACAGTGTTTACTGTTCTTTGAGGAAAGTCAAATCAAATCAAATTAAAGCAAGTATTGAATAGAAAAGACCTGAGTATATTGCAAACACACGGATTTTACAAATTATTCACCGGATTTTAAAAAAATTATATTTCAGAATCTATTACACATAACATAAAGAGTGTTACATCGATAGAACTGCTAACTCTCTAAGTTTTCGTCATATCATGTTGGCTTCATGATTGACAGACAACAGCACTACTCCAATTTCCAAAATTTTTGGAATATGAAATTTGTGGTTTTGGAAAATGAAATTTATCGTTACTCTCACAACTTAAAGACGATTCAGAAAAAATACTCCAACAAAATAATGCTTCCCCGCATTGGCATGCAGATGGGCGTCGTGCCCCTAATGAGGAACTTCCACATCGGCGGATCGGGCATTATGCTGATGACTTGGCTCTGGCCGCGTGGCTCCCTAGGCCCCCCTACCTTGCAGTTCCAGGTTTTTCCTTTAGGCCCATTTTTGACCTGCCTTCTTTGCCAACAAAAATAGAGTAACAGAAGAATCGCATTGCTGATGCTGTAGTGGCCGTTTCTCAAGAAATTCTACATCGTGTTTGGGCGGAGTTAAGACTATCGCATAGATGTGTTTCGTATGGTGAAAGGAGGTCATAGAAGATTTATGACAAAATTACAAACATATGGAGAGATCTATTAATGTGTCACTCATTATGTTATGTGTAATAGTTTCTGAAATATATTTTTTTTAAATCCGATTAATCATTTGTAATAACCCTGCATATGCAGGAAATTATGTGGTTCCTTGAAGATGGCTCTAAACATATATTTTCAAGACGAAATTAATATATTTTCGCTTGGAGGAGTTCGTGCAGTAAATTTTTAACACAACCCTCTGTTATACGGAACTATTACATAAGTATGTAGTATCTTAATGACATTAGCACGCTAGGAGTGAACAGTTAAAAAAAATATTTGTAAAAGCAGTTTTATTTTATTTCATATCGAATGCCCCACCCCCGAAACCCGTGTAATGTCCTTATACATACTGGACGAGCCCCTCTTTAAAGAAACCGAACAAGAAACGGAGTGTAGTATTTAAAAGCCACTTTCTAACGCTTCCAAACCAGATCGGCGAAGGTCCAACATGTCGCCACCGGGCGCGGGGTAGGGCGGGGCCGAGGTGAGGCGAAGCGTGGCGGGGGAGTGGCTTGGCATGGCTGAAAGTGCATGGTCGGGGCGGGGCTGGATGGGGCATGGCGGAGCAATGAGCCGCTCGCGGTGCACTCACCCGTTGTCTCCGTTGGAGGGCGAAGGCGCCTCCTGCTTGAACACCGTCAGCGACGGCAGCGCCAGCAGCGCCTCGCTGCAACACACGACACACAACCCCTGTGAGCGCTTAGAGCTCGTGGAGCGACAACGCGTGTTACTCGGCCACTTGGCATGAGCATACTGGCACTGCGCAGTCGACGCACGAATTGAGGTTCGGGAGCGTTTGGAGGGAGCGACATTGTCAAGAGTAAACTACGAGGTGCTAGGCAAGCGAAATCTCCTCCCAAGCGCCTGTCCCAGGCAGTTTGGCGCGGGGGGGCCGTCCCGCGCAGTGGAGGCGAGGCGAGCGGCCCGCGCCGGCGACGCACCTGATGCCCATGCCGCCTTGCGCGTCCAACGCCGCCCGCCCACAGCGCTCCGTTCACGCCGCCCCTGGCCCCCCCCAACTCAAGACCGGCGCGGAACCGCGGCAGCCGGCGCAGCTCGCGGGCCTCCACCGCGGTTCAACCCCGGTTTCGTGCTGCGCGCCCTGTCACTTCCTCACCTGCGCCCCGCCCGCGCGCCCGCCCCGCGCCCCGCCCGCGCGCCCTCGCCGCGCCTGCGGAGAAGAGCATCGGAAAGGAGGGCGTGGCGGGGGAGGGGGGCGGCCCAGGGGGCCGATAACGACGGAAAGATTCCGCGTCAGGGGACGAGGCCGCTAACCGCAGTAAACGACGTTAATTGGACCGAGACGACTCCCTCCCGGCGACGCACGCGCCTTGGCGTTGTTCTGGGCGCACTTCGCCGTTTCACTTCCGAAATTACAACAAATGGAATTCCTACTAAAGTAGGCCAGCAGTCAAAATCTCGTCATCACTGATTGATTAGCGATTCCGGCGCATCCATTGCTAATGGCATTAGTTCTGTAAGCGTAGTGAATGCTTTTATCGCGTGGGGAGGCGGTGATCTTCCCCCGCCGGATGGCGAGATCCGGCGCCGACCTACCCACCGCCCAGCCGCGACGAGCTCCGAGCTCCCGACGTCGGCCTGTACGGCGGAACGTAGGGCAAGCAAGTGCAAGTGTGTGTAAGGGGTGAGGACAGAACAAGCAAGAGGAAGGAAACATCGCGCGCAGACCGTGACCTGTTTCTTAGAGTACTCTTCCGCCATTCGCCTGGTGTTGATCGGAGAAACCTCGGAAAACTACCGATAACAGCAGCCGGCCGCTTGAATACGCCTCCAGACAGTCGCCGAATTTCGACCTAGCTAGTATGTAACTGGTGTCGAAAATCCTGCCATAGGTGGGATTCGAACCTAGGACCGCCTGTCAAAGGCAGTGTAGTGACATCAACTGATGCTCTGACAAAATCGCGTCATCGAAGTAACCCACTCTTTCGGTAAGAAGCTCAAACTCCAATCCTTATTTCGATACGAAACTATTTTGTAAATGGACTCAACTGTGTCACTAAGTTTAGTAGTTAGGCCAAAGTATAAATAGAGCTGTGAAACTTCACACACTGAACTTGTGGAAGACAAGCCCATGAAATGCAAAGTAAACCATATGCAACAGCACTTTGCGTGCAATTGAATAATTGTTAATTATTTGAGGAGTGCTGGCGCAAGACAATTTAGGACCCGGGGCAATGCTGAAACGTAGCCCCCCCCCCAATTAAAAGGGTGACAATTATCTCAAGAAACTGTACGAGCTAATTTATTTCAACAAATTACGAAAATTACAACGTTTAAGCTAGGAAAACGTTTGGGAATCATACTTTAAATAATAGTTTTAAGTAAAAATATTTAGTAATAAAAGTAATACAATTTCCACGGAGAGCTTACAACGCTAAAAAAGGGTTTAGTTAGTGTTTAATGAAATCACTTGTAAAATGTATGGAGTAATATGTAGGAATTTCAGAAGAACCTATTTTAATGTTAGCGTCACACGATTCATTTCATGAGTCCTACCTTTTAAGTAAAGACTTATAAGTAATGGTTTTTGAACTGACAGTTGACAACTGACAGTTTTCTGAAATATCAGATTGATGTACCGCGAGTTATAAAATTAAGTTAACGATTTTCTCGATTTCCAATTTCTTTGTCAATATTTTAGTAATTGTTCCCAATCATGAGGCCCGTTGACTTGCGTGGCTCCGGGCGATCGCCCGGTCTGCCCCTGCCCATCGTCGGCACTGTGTTTGAGCTTTTATCGCGCGGGGAAATAATAGAGGAGTGATAGATATTGGAATGCCTCTGTTTAATATTCATAAAGATTAATTATGTAAATTAATCTGTAATTTATGCGAAACATATATTTAATACAAACACACGCACGAACTCAGACACACACACACACACACACACACACATACGTATTGTAGTATGCATCACTGTCGTAATAGCATGAAAAGAAGTGATATATTTGGAATGTGAATAATTATATAAACCAAAATGTCTAAATGAAAATTGGCTTATAAAATTTTTTGTGTTCATTTGATTTTGTAATAGTATTTTAAGATATTATTGTAAGTATAAATTAGTTAGCCTTACTAAAAAACGAAAGAAAAAAAACAACAAAATATCAAAACATTTTCACTTTACTTCTTTCAATGATCTCTGCAATTCTATCAATCGAGTAGGGACAGGCGCACTTTCCATGAGGGTAGCAACACTTAGGACGCGACAAGACAAGAACGATTTCAGGTACGGCTAGGGAGCGATTCGGAACAGCCAAGTTTGATTTTTTTCTCGCGAACTGCCAGCGATCTGACCCCGTCAGAGTGTGATTATGCTAATTAACGAAGTGATTTCGAGGCCGCCAATTTGGCAGAGTGCACAACCACCTGAACATCTAAACAGAGGTGTTACCAGATGTTGGAAGAAAGTGACCGGGCAGTTTCTTCAAGATGTATACATTCTTATACACTCGGAACATACATTTTCTATCCAATTTCTATTCTGTACAAACCAGAAACATTTTTCGTTGTCGAGATTTATTATTGGAAGTGGATGGTGATGGTTTATTTTCCTGTCTCCCTGAACATACTGTATTCATCCGCTCTTTTCTCTTAGGATTAGTTACGACCATTTTAAATATATATTTTAGTACAGACACAAATCTCGCGTTTTGTCGTGTCATTTTTGACCTACTTGCGCCAGTTCGCGTCGCATCGCTTTGCACCCTGTATGCGCTACTGAATCTGCGGCGCCGCGCCCTTGTATTACATTAACTAACTTTGCATTTATGAGTAAAATCTTCGAAAATATGTACTAAAATGTGAAAGGAAAGTTCCTTTGTGTTTTGCTCCTATCTGTGAAGGAAGACGCGCAGTGAGGAGTCGCTTTAGAGGCCAATGCAAGTAAAGTGCACGAGTTGAACTCTTACCAACTTTGAAGGTACCAACACTACCAATTTGAGTCAACGACTCATTACATGAAAGGAACCCGGAAATCTTCAGGTTAATTCAGATACATGAAATAAGAATACGAAAAACGTTACAAAAAACCACAACACACATTACAAAATACAAATTTAAATTGATGAATTTAAACAAATAGAAATTCGAAATATACGAGTTACGATTTCGATATAAACGTATCAAAAAATGTAGAAATTCTTATTGATATAGCAAACAAAATATGTGTTACTAAGAGATCACCCGGCATTACCAAGGCTTTCATCATAGCCAATCCTTGTGAAGAAAGGAAAATATCAATTTTATATAAATCACGTTATTTATGATTATTATTTTAATGTAACTGTTTCAAACTTTAAAAATACCGTAATTTTCTTTCATTTTATTTTACAGTAGTACTGTGCTATTTCTTTTTCTCCCTGATTCTGGCTGCCAGCAGACCAATTAGATGCCTGTTCTGCTGCACTGCTACTGGCATCTGGTGGAATATATTAGGAACTATTTGCTCTTAGTGAGAGGCGAAAAAAATGATTGGGGTACAGCTACCAATAAATTATTGAGATTATTTACTTTCCGTATTTGAGTTGTATTAACCTTTACTAAACGTAGTTAGGACACTGTGACATTCTTGAAGAAGAGACTGTTAACATTTCGTGCCTATTGATACACTTCTTTATGAGGTATCTTTGTCGATTACATGTCATTGAATTCACTTTCAATAGTATAGATATGCGTCATAAAAGTATTGTTATACGAGGTGCATGTAGAAATCAAGTTTCCGTAGGTCCTCAGCAAACAGAAAAGCCATCCAATTTCATGAGAACTGATTTGTAGCTAATGCATCGCATGTTGCACTATTTTCCCACATAATCACTACAAGAACTGAGAAATTGTGTCACATCAATGGACCAACATTTGTTTCTCTATATCGTAAAAGACTACCGCCTGGGTTAGGTACCAGTATTTGACAGCCACACGCAATTCCGTATCATTGTGATACGAGTAAAGCTGGCCGACCGGGTGTGAGAGGAGACAGAAAACGTTGGGGCCGAGCTCCGAACCACAGAGTGGATAAACACGGCTCGACACTCAACAGATCTTTTGCAGCCGTTCCGCCGAGGAGTGTTTGCCCACCATATAGTCCGGATTTCGCACTACCCCCCGCGATTTTTCTTACATTTCAAGACATTTTAGCGCACTCAGCGTTATTGTAATCGCAATGTTACAGTGTCGTGGGTGGCTCTAAAATTGGTACGTATGCCAGGCGCGGGGGGCGACACGGGGGGCGGTGCAGGAGGTTGGCGCGGGGGCAGGGCGGAGCGAGCGCTGGTGAGGCAGGTGTGCCGGCCGGAGAGAGGGGCGGAGTGGGGGCAACCGTTAGTCATGAGGGCACGCGCACGCCGGCGTCTGCCCCGGTTGATTATCACGAAGCGCCGCGCAAACGACTATTCAAAGTCAGGCCGAGACCCTTGTTTACTGTCAGATCGTACCTGACGGCTGGCCCACCCCC